GGGGACTTTTCCAGTTAAACATGTAAGGGGGCCATAAATGTCCTCTTGGTTTTTAAAAGAAAGTGGAGTCAGATGCTCAGATGCTGTGGTGCATGAAGAAACTTTAATTTCAGTGAATTCACTAATTAAGTAAATGAAAACAACCCAAACTATTTAAACTCTGAGAAATAGTAAGTGCTCTATTAAAGGTAGTGGAAAGACCACGATGTTCTTTTTCTCTGCCTTGACAGGATTGCTCTTTATGGACTACTTTCCATGGGAAACTTCAGAGTTCTTGCTGTCTGGTATTCAGTTAAAGCTTCTTTTAGCTTTTCTGTTGCCTTAAGTGTATCAGCATTAATTTATTGACACCCTAAACAACCAAATTCCTTCTCAAGCCTTTGTGGAGTGTCAAACTTTGCTGTTTTGTGTTTCATCTTGCTGATCCACATGCTTCAGAAGAGACTGGAGGTGGGATCATTCTGGCCAAATTTAGGTCTCCACAATGTGGATGTCAAGAATTGCTTTACACTCCGGGGGAGAGAAGTCGAAAGTTGAAAGTAGACAGTTAAAATAGGTCAGACAAAATGCTTTCTTCATATGTCTCCTTCTCTCTGTTGACTCTATAAAGAGACTTGACAATGAGCTCATGTGTCTCCTGGGTTTCTAAAATTAGGTGACGTGTCCCAGGTCACTGAAGGGTTGATTTCCCAGCTCTGCTTGTTGCTGGCAAGTGTCTCTCAGTTGACATGAGGAAGGTGCCCCGTGCCCAGTGCACCACATTATGTAGCTGGCTTGCTACATTTGGGAAGTTTTAGGAGGGAAATAATAAAATGCACTGGGTTTCACACCTTTTATTGAAAGCCTGAAGAACACAGATAAAGAATCAGTTGCATAATGGAAGGTGTTCCAGCCCTGTGATAACTCAGGAGAGTCACCGAGTTGATCAGAGGGCTGGAACACCTCTCCTGTGACTACAGGCTGAAAGAGTTGGGACTGCTCATCCTGGAGAAGGGAAGGCTCTGGGGAGACCTGAGAGCACCTTCCAGTGCCTAGAGGGGGCTTACAGAGGAGCTGGAGAGGGACTTTTCACAAGGGCATTGAGTGAAAGTCCAAGGGGAAATGGCCTTAAGCAGAAGGAGGGCAGATTGAGATTAGATTTTAGGAATAAATTCTTCCCTGTGAGGGTGGGGAGGCCCTGGCACAGGTTGCCCAGAGAAGCTGTGGCTGCCCCATCCCTGCAAGTGTCCAAGGCCAGGTTGGACAGGGCTTGGAGCAACCTGGGCTAGTGGAAGGTGTCCCTGCCCATGGCAGGGGGTGGAATGACGTAATGTTTAAGGTCTCTTCCAACCCAAACCATTTGATGATTTTGATAATTAACCTGTTCATATATAAGCTAAAATGACCATTTATCAAACCCTGTGCCATAAAGAGTTCTGGAGTTCTATTTCCTGGGGAGAAAATGGGAATGACAAGGGAGTGTTCTGTGGGCCAGACCAACTGGTGACATCTGGTGTATTCCCCTCAGCACCTTCTCACTTTTGCACCCAGCAGTTTTCCACCCATGTTTATTCTTCCTGGGGAAATGTTCTTCATGTCTTAAGGAAGTACTGGAATAACTGTGAATGCAGTGGTTGACTTTTCTGAAATATATTCATTCTGCAAAAGCTCCACTGATGCTGCACGTTGTCAAAACCTTTCTGACTTCCACACTTGTGTAGTACCTTGGTCATGGTGCAGGAAAAGGATGTGGTGGGAGGCCCTGAGTAGACACTGAAGGGAGATGAATTAAGTGCTAAATTACCATTTGATCATCAGTAGTCTAAGCCATTGTGGGTCAGCTTTGCAGTGTATTGGTTTCCTTTCAAACCACTGGCACACATCCTGGAGGACCACAAAAAGGAGCCCAGACCAGATGTTTTATTTTGGGTGAGCTCTCAATAACAGCTCACAACTGCCTTATAAAGTCACTCAAAATCCTCTTTCATTCATCCAACATGACGCTGTGTAACAGTTTTACTCATTGTTTGATATGGTGACTTTTTATGCTTTTAAGGAGTGATTTATTACGTTTTTTATGCCTCCCTGGCAGTAGACACATCACACTTGGAAAGGACCCACTATCTGGTTCTGTTGATGAGTGACATCAGGTTGTGCACTTGACACTTGTGGGCTTCTCATGGAGCAATTGTCCTCACCAGCCTCCAGAGTCCGTTTTTAGACAGGGGAAAGAAATGGGCACTTGCACCAGAACAGGTTTTGCCAGAGCTTTTCCAACCTGCCCTTGAACCATCCAGGATACTTCCATAAAGAATCTACAGTAGTGTTTACAGTGGATAAATGAATTCACCTTCATAGGTGACGAATTATTTTCTTAAGTTGTTAGTTGACCAAAACAAGGCTTTTTGTTTTTTAAACATTCTTCTTTCTGTATTTCAGCCATGCTTGAAATAATCCCCTGAAGCCCATTCCATTTTAGTAACAATCAACTGATTTTCAGATTCCCAGACACTTCAAAAGCCCTTCTGTTTCACCAGAGATAACTGAAGATTATTTTAGGGAACTGTATATCCATAACCGAAAGGTGTGTTGGCTGCTCTGACTTCACTAATTTTAATTACAGTGGCAGAAGCAGCTAAAACAGCAACATGAAGCATCAGTATCTCTAATTTCCTAATGGAATTACAGGATTTGGCTACCAGTGGCATCAGAAGAAAATATGATAATTCAAGCTTCCCTTCCAAATCCTATATTAATATATTTAATTATTTTTCTCAATACTGAATGGTAATGCTTTATCAACATTGCCTGTATTTTTAAATAAGTGTGTTTTTCTAGTAAAACATAGCTGATAGTACCTGTCTGGGAGATAACTAGGCTTTAATTGGTAATAGAGATAACTAGGATCTAACTGGTAATACAGATAACTAGGCTTTAATTAGTAATAGAGATAATTAGCCTTTAATTGGTAATAGGTGGACTGTGCATGTATCTATATCATGCACGTTGGGAATTGCTAAATAATAAACACAGGTTCTGCTGCAGGTTCAGGTCATAAGTTCACAGAACTGGGAGTTGTTATTACCTAATAAACACTTGAGCCTCTGTGGATGACATGAAGGCCTCAGCCCAGCGTTTGATGCAGGTTTCCATGACTACCTTGAAGGGAAAAAAATGAAGTAGATTCTTTTATTTTTCCCTGCAATATGTGAAAGGAAAGCAGTGAAATGGTTTGCAGATGTTCCTGTTGTCTCTTTTAGAAGTTCCTCTGAAACTCAGAGGAAACAGGAGGCGGAAAACATCTTTGCTTTTTAAACCTGGTGAACGCCGGGTTAAAGTAGAACTGGGTCTCCAAAAAATGGAAGGAGTGGATCCTAAAGGTTCCCACCTTCACCCACGGGTATTTGTCCACCTTTAGTCAGGCATCTCCCACCCTTCCATTGCATTTAAAGAATTTAAATAATTCAAATTTCTGATGCATTACGGCGACAGAATGCAAGGACATGATTCAACCTCCCCATCCCTCTCCGGCCTTCCTGGACTGACCTGCACACATTAGTGAAAATGATGAAGAAATAATTTCAAATCCAACGTCTGCTGATGCTTCTGTCTGGTTTTCTCTTGCCTGTGTTAATGGAGTGACTTTCTTTTTCCAATCCTCACGGCTGAATGTCACCACGGATGTTTGCTGTCCTCCTCAGCTCAGATCTTATCAGTCCTTCATTATTTGATAAACCATCAGAAACACAGCTCAGTAATTAAATTCAGTGCCAGAACAGAACAGGAGTGACTGATCAAGTGAGGATGGAGGAAAACAGATCAGTTTAGAGTGAATTTTATGAACCATTGTTCTCCAAAAATTTTAGGGAGAGATTAATTTTCCGTTTTTATTTTTTAATTGAAAGACTCTCTCCTTTCTAAATGCTTATGTCCTGGCAGTATGTCCCAGTCAGTATAAAAATTGAGTGTCCTTTGATTGTAAAAGTTCTTTTACAGCTCAGTTCTTTACAAATCAAAGCAGGATAATGAAAAAAATAAATCCAAATCTTGAAACACCTTCCCCTTCGCTTCACCCTTCTTTTTTGATTGATTTTGACTCCCGAATCCAATACAAGGGGATCCACCTGAGGTGAGGGACAACTGTGGAAAGAAAGAGAATGACTATGAGAGTTTATCTCCATGCTAAAAACCTGACTGTAGGTGAAATGAGGCTGCTGTGTCACCAAGGGATCAGGATTTGAAGGAGGATTGTGTTTTAAATGAGGTTTGGATCCAACCAGAGTCTGAAACAGAGAGGTTGTTTTGAATGAGAAACTGTTTGAGAAATCTTTGTGATTGGGAATTTTTAAGCTCTGGGTTATGGCAGGAGGGGCAAGGACAGAACTAATGTCGGGTTTGGAATTCTGTTGATGTCCTGACCACCTGCTCAGCTCCTTGGCAGAGACCAAGCAATGAAGTTATAAGTCAATGTCTTATGGATTAATCTTTACCCCAAGACTACAATTCATTCCTCTGCACCTCTATTTCTGAGTTCTCAAAGAGCTGTGGGGTTTTAGCAACTCTGGTCATGGATTTTGTCACCTGGACAAATGATCTCCGGAAGTAAATCATCATGTCATCCACACTCCTAAAAAGCCCCCAGACAGTTGGGCTTTTAAGAGACTGCTGAAAATCATGCAGAGTGAATCACAGCTTCAGAAATTAAACAGGCAGGTCCTTTTTCTGGCTCAAAACAATCCATCCTACCTTCTCCTTTGGGTACGGTTTAGATCTTTGCATCTACAGAGCCTGTTCCAGTAGTTTCTTTGAGACAAGTTATTGATCACACAGATTTTGGATGTCCTTTGGCTTTAAATTAGGTGTCCAAAACCATCTATAACAGCTGCAATGCAGACAGGGATGGTTGATCTCTAATATGTGCAACTCAGAGCTCAAGTATTGTGTTCTCTGTTTTCAGTCCATCTCTTTTTCATTCTCTTCATGGTTTCCATATGTTTAATACTTTTCCTCTTTCATTGCAGAGATCTGAGCCTTGAGGTGAGGACCTCGACCAGAATACCTGCAGAGAGCCTGTGCTTCAGCCCTAATCACAGTGTTAACGAGAAAAACTTGACTCAAGTTAATTAGGAGAGAAGATGGCCTTCACCAGGAAGATCTGCCTCTTCACTCTCATATTGCTTCCCATGGTAAGGAAAAAATGTTTTTATTTGTATTGTTCTGATGTAAATACATGTTCTGATAGCCAGGAGTGAAGAAGCTCCTGCTGACACCAATTCTGGCTTTTTCTATGGGGGTTTTTCCTATGTTGGGTTAAGGCTTTTCCAACCTCCCTTGTTAATGCAATAGGACTGTGGTCATCCTGAGAAGGGCAAGTACATTCCTTAAGGGCAGTTGTTCACTGTTTTTCTCCAAGATTAAAAATAAAATAAAGTAATAATTAGAAAGAATGGGGCTTCCTTTTCAAATCCATGGGCTTAAGAGTATTTTTTTCCTGACAGAGGGGATAAAATTAGAGATTCCTATCAGCCCTGTGAAACCTAAACCTTGAGATGTTTCAGGCAGTGCTTTTGGATGCCTCCATTTTCAGAGGGCTGATTTTAAGTAACAATACAAATGGCCCTCCTCTAAAGATACTAAAAGCATTCAAAGTCATTTATCATGTTTCTGAAGATATTCAACTCTTTCAGAAGATGACAGGGATTAATTTTTTCCCAGAAGTCTTTACTTACTGAGTAACTTGCTGTTCCATTAATACCTCAGTCCTAACACGTCTGGGGATTGTAAGTGTTCCTCTCCATTGCCCCCCTACACATTGTGGTTGTATCTGACCTCACATAACAACCATAAAAACACTGAATAAAGATGTTTTTTTCTCCCTTTGTAGCTGTGAGGAACAGCACATAACCCTTATAATGAACTCATCTTGCATTTCAACTCGGTTCTTTGCTAGACCATTGATCATAAATGTGCTTTTCATCACTTCTCAAAAAACTCTGCTCAGAGGGATCCTGTGACAAATAGCACCAAGATTCAAATCCTCCATCTCATTTTTAATAATAACCTTCCACAATTTCCATCTAAGTGCCTTAAAATTGCTTCATATACAGATCTCTCATGTTATTGCACTTTATTAGTCAGGTATTTGAAAGCATTCTTGACAATTATCTTATTTTATTTTTAATTAACAACAATTTATTATGGTAGTGATGTGACCAGAGCATCTTTTAGGAGTTTTTGCAGAGTTTCCTGCTCGTGTGTATCCATTGTGTGACCTCTCTTTTACAATGTCACCATACAGGGCTTGTCTTTACTTTGGCACACAAAAATACACTTTTTTTACTTTTGAGGTCATATTTAAGTCGAATCTATTTAACTGAAAATCTGAAATGTAACATAATTCAGCTAAATTCTGTATAACAGGGTTGGAACAGGTAGTATACTAGTGTTCATCCAAATAATATAATTCCCATATGAAAATCCTGACTATAAAAAATGACTGAAATTCAGATGCTGGTTTGTGTTTGGTTTTTTTTTTTAACATACATCAGATTATTTAAACACACCTTGTTGCTTCTGGTTTGAGCCCCAGAAATAACAACTGTCCTGTCTCAGTCTCTCAAGAGTTCCCATCTCACAGCTAAACCTGGCACAGCCTCAGTGTTTCCTCCCATGTAAGTGCTGGTGAGATGCATCCTGCACTGGGAGAAACTGGAAAGTTGAATTCCTGGGTTTCCCAAGCGTGTTTTTCAGACTGGAACAAAATTACTCAAACAGTCACGTGAATGGAAAAGCAAAAGAAATTTTTGTTTAAGGATCAGTGACTTTGAATGTTTCAAGATTTTCGTTGCCCAGCTTGAGACAGCCAAAAGGTGTCTTCCTATTTAGAGGGAAGCAGTTTTTAATTAAGGGAAATAAATGAACATATCTCCAGAGCTTTCCTAGGCACGACCTTCCTGGCAGCTGTAGAAGGACAGCAAGTTTCCAATTGTTAACGTTTCAGGACATAGCTGTGGTTGCTGAGCTGGATAATTAGTGATCAGCTCCAGCTTTTGGAAAGAACAGTTCTTTAATGAAATACTGTGGAGCAAATCGGAGTTAATGAGAAGAAATGTGCTTTTATATGTGTGGTGTGTCTGCAGTGTTTATGATCTTATTTATATGATTTTTTGCAGGAATCCAGACACTAAAGTTAAGCTTTTAACACACATGAATTTGCAGCTTTGCACACACATTTCTTGGTCAGACTTAAGCCAGTGACAGAGATTGCACCATAATTTGTGTGCAAAATCATGCAATTAGTAATTCCCTACATTTCTTTTGACAGACCAAATTTCAGGAATGATATAATGTTATTTATGATTCTTCCCTTGCTGTGGCTCTTTTGCAATGCTTGTGGCAACATATTTCTCTCCACTGGGATGCTCATTTTCTCTTCAAACCACCTCTAATATGCTGTGCCAATGAACTCAAATTGGTACTTTCCTGTCATGCAGATTTTCAGATTTTCTACCAAGGGAGTGGACGTGAATTTAAAAAAAAAAAAATTAGAATAAATTTGAATAGAATAAATTTGAATGTCATCCTAACCCTCAGAAAGTTCCTGAAAATAGCTTCTCTTATATTGCTTTCCTCTAAACACACTGGGTACTCCAGGAATCTCCAGTCACCCTCAAGGAGAGCTCCTGTTTTTAGATGTTGAGATTGATCCTTATTTTGTGGCACACGTCTCCAGTCCTCAAAGTGGCTGCAATAGCTCCTGAATCTGCTTGGATGTGCAGGTTTTGGATTTACCCACAGGAAACCAAAGCCCCCCAGACTGATGTCCACACCCACAAACAGGGCAAGAAAAAGCTAAAAGGGGACAAAGTATTAATGGGAAATTCTAGGTGGCTTCAAATATAGACTCAGAACAGGCAACAAGAAAACAAAATGCCAAGATGTGCTTAGGAATGTGCATGTTAAGGCAATTCTAACTGTCAGAGACTAAGGGTGGGTTGATTTTTCATGTGTTTAACAGGTTGTTCTGTATTGGCCTATTAAATGTATTCCACTTTATGAATCACTTGGGATTGAAAACAGCTCCTAGGCCTCTTAGGGGAATTCTTAAGCTTTATTTTTTTTCCCCCATTTTAAGTGTTTTCCCAAATTTAAATGCCAATGTTGCTATTTTAGTTGACTTTAATCCATTTTTGCTAGCTGGACCACCTCTTTTCAGTCACTCTCATTCTTTTCATTGTTTTAAATGAAACTCTGAGCAACCTGGTCCAGTGGAAGGTGTCCCTGCCCAGGGCAGGGGGATTGGAATGAGATAATCCTTAAGGTCCCTTCCAGCCCAAACCATTCTAGGATTCTGTGGTTCTGAGATCTCTTCATTTGCACATCAGTTTTCTTCACCCTACTTATTTTGCTCCTGAACTCATTTTCACTGTCATTTTGATTGATTTTACATTCCCTTCATCTGTGATAACAGTGGGTTTCGGGGTTTTTTTATTGGAAAATATAACAAAAGTCATCATGAAATTATTGAGGAGAAAGGATCCTAAACCATCATTCCTTTGTCTGGCTCCAAATGTACTTGAGAAACAATGAATTTCATGACTCACAAAGTTGGCTTAGTGTATGAACTGAATTTTAAATGTAACTGCAATGCAGGTGTTCTAACTGTCTGGATAATTCAATCACACGTATTTCTTCACCTAATATTTGGAATTTCTTGTGGATTCATTTTTAATATAATTAAGCTTAAATGGCAGAATACTCTTTGTAACGTTTCATTAACTGGGAATGTGTTCACTGACTTCCTTTTGAAAAAAAGAGAGAGAGAGAGAGAGAAAAGCAAAGGTATAAGTGATGCCTCTTGTGTACCAACGTGGAAGTGTGATCCCTGTGTGACAGTCAGATGGGCAAATCCAGATTTGGATACACAGGCAGCATCTCACAGAGCAGAGAATGAAACCTCCATCTGATTATGTTTAAGCAATTCATGAAGAGGTGAAGAGAGAAAGTAGATCTGTTTGCTCAGCCCCTGTTTGCTGAAGGGGGTGATATTTCTCAATCTTTTAAGGGTGTGTATGGGCTGCAGAGCTGAGAACTCTCTGTTATTCATCTCTAGCTGTCACTTGCAATGCCAGGCTACATTCAAATATCCACATTTCAGCCTCTGTCATTTTTAAAAGATGAAACAAGGTGTATTCAGACACAATATTCTACTAGTTCCTTTCCAACCCCCAAATGCTTTTTAATGTATTTCCTACTGCAGCCCAAATGTGAGGCTTCTCAGGCTCCAACAGAAACATCTAAGTTGGTCCCTGCTCTTTAAGGAAACTATTTTTTCCAAGCAGGACTTAATAGGAGAGCTTTTAATGAGTTTATCTGCCTGGTAATTTGTAGCATCTCATAACCCTATTAGGGAAGTCAACTTCTCTGTAGGACTGCAGGTGTCTCTAACACAGTGCACTGTTAGATGGAACTTCCTTGTTATTTATGTAATGAAAGTATAAATATGTACAAATATAGTCAGGGAACTGCTGGTAACGTTCTCCATGGGAGATAAAAACTCAGCTAACCAAGACATTAATACTGCCAGAGCTTTTCCTTTTCAATATGAGGAGCAATCAGCAGAATAGGGCAACCTCTTAAAAGCCTTGTTTAAAATAGAAAAACAAAGTCTCAGAATGTCTAATAGTGGGCAAAGTAGTTTCAAAGAGAAGGCTCAGAATATTTGGTGCGTCACAAAAAGCATCTGAGACAATCAGCGTCGCAGAACCGCAGGGTCTTGACACCCACCAACTTCAAGTGCATTTCAGAGGCACAAAAATTAGGATCTGAGGTTCCAGATGCTCCTTATCCTGTCAGCTGGGTGGGATAGGTACTTACAGAGAGGGAGAGAGTGACACATCCCTCAGGGTGAGATCTCCACCAGAAATATTTATGAGTCTATGTGTTTACAGGCCTGTCTAAGATGCCCGAAGGTGATGGGAGACCTTGACATGGTGTTGGTGCTCTGTGGAACTTGTAATCTCACACTGGGCACATCAGGTTATTGCAGGAGATAAAGGAAGACACCTGCTTAAAACATTTTTCATAGAATCACAGAATCACAGAACAGTTTGGGTTGGAAGGAACCTTAAAGACCATCTCATTCCAACCCCCTGCCATGGGCAGGGACACCTTCCACTAGCCCAGG